TAGCGGCTTTTGTTTTCACATTCGTCTTACTGGCTTTTGTTTTCACATTCGTCTTAGCGTCTTCTTTTGGTTTTCCTTCGTCTTACTGGTTTTTTTCACACGTTGCGTTGTCCGTAATGGCGATGAACAATCGCGGTCGAGCCCCCAAAAATGTAGGGTTTCGCTTGAATAATTCACCAAAACCCCACTAGTTCTTAATTAATTTATTATTTATTTCTATTAACATTTAAACTCATTTGATTAACTAATTTCGACACAATACGTCTTTACTGTTAACTCGTCTTCTAACTTCTGCCTCTCCACATCTTCCCTCATCTCACATCTGCTTCGGTCGATCGATCGACCCGAGCCCTTGACCGAGTACATTCGAAGGGTTTCGAGTATACCCGAATCTTTTCTACATATATAACTCTGCTGATCACTTTGAATTATGCTAGGAACACTATTTAATATAGTTGTTGGACTGTTTGATGTAAAAGTTTCTTTCAGATGTTCAGCAAACAAATTAACTTTTTCTTGATTGCTTTTAGCCCAATTTTCATTACCATTTCGAATTGGAAGTGTATATCTTTTTGGAACTTTAAGCTTTCTTGTTACCTTCCACAGAGAATAGTCAGTACTGGCATCGTTAGTAAGGTCTTTGTTATCGTGGTCTTGTATGTAGGAAAGCGGAGGGTATGCTTACGCATACAGCACCTAGGCCCCAACGGGTCCCTTGTACGTCCTCCTACACTCTCTCCGGCTACATCAACCAGCCTAAGGAATTTCCGAAGGCTAGGATACAGCTCAGAGGTGTGTTCCTGATGCCATCTGTGGTCGGCCATTCCTCTCCGAAGTCTCTCATTCTGAGGTCTTTCAGAGTGGGGCATTCATACAAGATGTGTCGGACCGTCTCCTCGCTCTCTTTACAGAGGCGACAGAGAGGACTAACAGCAAGCTTAAGGTTATAAAGATGCTTGTTTACCTTACAGTGACCCGTGACGAGTCCCGTTACAGTTCGTAGAGTGTTCCTACCAAGCCTTACGAAAGACAAGGCTGCCTCTGTTGAAGGATAATGTAATACTTCCTTAGACAGATGGCAGCCTTTAACCATATCCTACCAGTTCATAAACTTTTTGTGGGTAAAATCTTTAATTATCTCAATCTGAGTTGATAAGGACGGAGCGATTATCAGTTCAGGCGAACATGGCGCTCGCTTAGCAGCCCTTTTGGCAAGCCTATCAGCGTGCTTCTTACCTGAACAAGTCGAGTGTCCTTTTATCCATTGAAGTATAACACAGTTATACACTGCGGCCTTCTCCAATGTCAGATGACAACCCATAACAAGTCCTGAAGTAATTGTTATTCTACTCAGGGCCAAAATGGCTTGTCTACTGTCAGTATAAATTGTAAAAGTCTTACTTACCAAGTTGGATCTGACAATAACGTCAGCGGCAAGTTGTATGGCGATTAATTTCGCCTATATGACGGTGGTACTTTTACCTAGAGGTTCAGATACGTGGAGTCGGAGATCGTACGAGAAGACTCCAGCTCCAGCTCCTTCCCGTCTCTTTGAACCATCAGTGTAGATTTTAAGGGTGTTTTTTACCTCTACTTCAGTGGAACTTGGGTGGGTGAGATATTTCTTCGTAAAAATGTGTTGGAGGGGTGTAATGTCCGTTACACAATCCAGAATTGGTGAGTATTCCACCATTTCGTTCCAGAGATTGGCATTTTTACTGTTTCTCTCACCCATTAGAATTCCTGCTGCTCGCAGTCGAATCATGGTCACCAATGCCACCTCTTGGATGAACAAATGAAGTGGCGTTAGGTTTAACATGTTTTCCATGGCTGCAGTGGGGGTAGTCCGCAGCGCACCTGTAACATACAAACACGCAAGTCTCTGTACTTTATTAAGTGCAGTAGTGGATGTAGACTGTAGGGTCTTTGACCACCATACTACTGCACCATAAGTAAGCATAGGTCGGATTACAGCCGTGTAAATCCAGAGGGCATTTTTGGGTGACAAACCCCATGTCTTACCTATAGCCCTCCGGCATTGACCGAATGCAACGTACGCTTTTTTAACTCTATTATCTAGGTGGGCTCTCCATGTCATTTTA